GTGTTTCGACTATAATGGTTACCTATGGAATGGTGACCTCATGCAGCGCCTCATCTACAATGCAATCAACAGAGAGTAATGTGAGAGCATGATGTCATACTTCATTGGGCAAGGAAGGAACGGGATCCATATCCCTTCTTCCAAAGGATGGACTTACATCAAACAATACCCTCCTCTTGGGTGACACATCCGTGACTTCTTCGATAAGGCTGCTGCATCCAACAGGAACCCATGGAGGATAAGTGACAATATGAGGCACACAGAGAGATCCAAAGTGTCAGTTGCAACAAGGGTATCTTCTGCCAAGACCATACCTTCCAGCCAGTCAAGAACTACATGAAGAGAGAGGTTGGAGCAGCGGCTGTTTGGGATGCTGCACTGAAACTGGAGAGATACTTCAGCAGTGCTGGTTCCTACACCAAGACCATCCACTTCTCCCATGCAGCAATGCAACTAGCAAGGAGAGGTCACTTCAATCCAGTTGCCATGTATAGTGACACCTGGCCCAACAAGGATGACTATTGGGAGGTGCTCTTTCCAGCTATTGAGGGAAGACTGGGCCTGTTTCACTATGAGAAGAGAATCCTGTCAACTTTGAGGAAGGGCCACATTGATTACTTCGAAGCTTTGAATGCTCTCTTGGATTGCCTCTATGAGTACTTACCAGAAGACTTTGAGAAGGTTCTCTATGCTCTGAAACATGGTCTACTATCAGCTGATGGCAAACACTATTCCATGGTGGAGATATCAGACATGCAAGCCTCCAAGGTCTTCCGTCAAAGATACTCCAAATTCCTAAGGAAGAAGATGAGAGAACCAGAAACAATGAGGCAGAGGATACACAGTGGTTCTGCAGGTACAAGGTCACTGCTAGTGAGGGCAGCCAACCAGGCCAAGGAAGACTGGATCCTTTCAAAAACTTTACCTTGTTCACTCCTGACACCAAGCCAGCAGTAGACAACTGCATCGAGAAAGCAATTCACTTGGCTGATCCACTACCCAATACAGCAAATGTATGACAATCCAACCTTCTCCAACCCAAGCACAACCTTCCAGAGTACCTATCAAGGAGAGGAGAGTAAAGTTAGAGGCTTTCCATGACAAGTTTGCCCACTTTGGCAATGGTGGAATGAGAAGGACCCTAGCAGATGCACTCAACCTTGCTGGCACTGCAAGGTACAACCTCAAGATTAGCACAAAAGAGAGCCTTCCTGTCAAGTAATCAGTCTGGAAGAAAGGAGGTCAATTCCAGCTGGATGGGAGAAGTTGGTTCCATATTGGAACCATTCAGAGTTGACTTACCTGAATCAGATGGCAGAAGCTGTTGGTCTAGACAAGCCATTTCCAAATGCAGAGCCATTGCCACAGGACAATGGAGAGAGATTCTTCTCTCAGAGTTCATTGTTGGATTCAAGCCACAGAGAAAAAGTATGCACCAAATGAGTTGTTGTTTTGTGCACCGTCCAGTGGCAACTTCACAAACCACAACCACAGCCAAATCCACAACCACAGCCAATACCACAACCACAGCCAATACCACAACCACACCTCCACCAAATCCACAACCTCAACCACCACAAGCAGCTCCTGCGGCACAAACAAGAAATGCTTACATTGGGAACCTGCTTCTATATAGACAACAACAGTTTCAAATGATGCAACTCCACTTACAGATGCAGCAGCAACTCCAACCAATACTGCCAGCTCTTTCCAGCAACCTCCTCCACAAATGGTGCTGTCACAGATACTGCCAGTGGTTGACTCAAAGGAGAGGAAGACCACCACATGATGCCTATTGCCAAGCTCGATGGAGTGCATCACAGGCTGGGTAGCAACAACATAAATTGAGATACATAACTTTCGTTTCTAATTTAGCCAGTAACTTACATAAAATTTCCACAATGTACAGCATTGTGTGGTTGCAACAATCCAAGGTTGTCAAGGTCTTCAATGCAATCATCAACAAAACTCTGACTCATGGAAACCAAAACCTGAAAGGAAAATTTGTTGTTGTAGTCATACCAAGTGGCAACAATACCCATGCCAAGCATCCATCAATATCTGTCCTTCATTGGAGTCAAAGTCATAGCTGCTATCCATAATCATTTCCCTCACTAAACCCATAGATGCACTCAATGAAGATGTCCTTCCTTTCACAGGGCTGTGTCTCATCCAACATTTCATAAAGCGTGGAGAGAACAGTACTGTACCATTTGGGGCTCTTCTGAAGTCCCAATTCATACATGTAGTCCATGATGCCTGTCATATCAGGAGGAAGAGGCTTGCATCCTCCTTGCGAGATCATCTTCTCAACAATGTGCCATGCAAATTCCATCGGGCGAGCACAATGCAATTGGTTGTTGGCGAATCTCGCATCTGCATACTGTCCTTCAAAAATCACATACTTGCAGGTGATTCCATGCCGTGTTGCCCTCAGCTCATTCAATGGGTAGCTGTTTACACTAAGTAGCCACTTCGAGAAGGAAGGACTTGTAGCGATCCTCATTGTCGGTAGAGGAAGGATCGTCCGTAGAGGAACAAGGATCGTCCGTAGAGGAAGGATCGTCCGTAGAGGAAGGAGTGTCTTGTGCGATTCTAGCGAGCGATATTGAAGGAGCTACCTAAGCGGCCGACATGAAGTGCACGTTGTTAGATAGCAGTAGTAGTATACTATAGTAGCAGTTGAATCATCATTGTCGACATCTCCATCTTACCTTATCGACAACAACAAGGAGTGTTAACAACAGAACCGGAGCAGCAAGTACACGGAGCGATTTGAATGAAATGAAGAAAATGGGAAGGTATGGTGCGAGCGAAGGATTGGGAAAGAGGATGAAAAGAGCCAGCCAGGTATCCGTTGGCTCAATTTGAATTTCACATCAACGTACCTCTGTCGAACATACTTGCTGACGTAAAGTTGTTCTTCGGACATGGATTATATAGAGGGTTGGGGGGGAATGACCAGGTCATTGACGTTTCCCCTCTCTCGTGAAACATGTGCATGTATCACCAAGGTCGCACTATGACTGGATCATGTCTGGGATTCGGAATTTGGAATCCAACGGATAACCCTCTCCCTTTCTTTTTTTCTTTTCCCTCCCCCGCGCTGCTGCCTAACCCCCCCATAAAGTCGGTGAGAGGGGATCCTCTATGGAAAACTACTAACATTCACCTTTACAGGACTACTGGGATCCAAACGCTGGACTGGGCAGCAGCCAGATGAGCTTTGCTTCCAAAGGGACAGGGAGAGTCGAGTCGAGTCGAGTCGAGTCGAGTCGAGTCGAGTCGAGTCGAGTCGATGCTCCTTCCGGTGCCGCAGGCGCCGGTAGCTTGCTCAGAAAAGTTTCTCCGACTCTTGCTAGCTCTACTAGTAGCTACATGTAGCTACTACCGGTACCGGTATCTAGCTAGCTAGCAAGTATATGTCTCCGTGTTTCCAACAGATCAGATAGCTAGACTAGCTAGAATATTAGGTGTCTCCAACAGCTCAAACGGCTTTTCCGATTTCTGTGCAAAATAAATAAGCGTCGTGCATCAGTATGATAGCTCCTGCATCAGTATGATAGCTCCTCCATCCAACATCCAACATTGTTCTCTTTTTAAAATCTTCCTTCAATGACCTTTTCAACAACATTATTTAAAATACTTCTTTCCGAACTAGCTAGCTAGAGGTAGAAAGTAGAAAGCCGTTCGCCGATTGTGTTTCCGTTCAATTGTTCAATTGACCTCTTAGCTAAAGCTGACCTCTTTGGGATCTTTGTAGCCGCTTATTGATAGTGGGGAGTACACGCAGTACCGAGTACCGAGTAGCTACTAGGGAGTAACTTGTACTCGTACAGTCGTACTCAGTATGGCAGATGGCAGAGAGTTGATTGGACAGAAGAGCACGAACTCAGCGTGAAACTTGGATTTAAAGAGCTAGTTTTCCTATAACTCAATTGTTAGTGCCTACTCAGTACTCTATAATAATAGTACTGTAGAGTCCAGAGTATGTACAGTGGCTTTTCCAGTTGGACTAATTCGCATGTTCATTAAGCATTCTGCTTTCTTTCCATGACCACTGGAACTCGAAAGTTCATCTGGTTCATGCATGTATGTGACCAATGACTTTCCAAAGACTTAATTGTTGTGGATGCTGGAGCTATACTAGTAGGCTACTAGTATAGGGGTGGTACGTGGTACTTATGTGGAGCTCTATGTGGTATGTTGTGGGTTGTGGGGTTCTGCTTTCTGTTACTTACACGTTACAATGTCATGTACGGTATTAATTAATACCGCTGGCACTTCGATCTTCGATCTGCTACATGTACTAGTACTCACTCTCCTTACAGCGAACAGCGAAGCACCCTAACGTTAACACCCTTCAAGATTCAAGACCACGACTGTACGACTGTATACCAACTACACGTGTACATGTACCAACCACAGCTCAACCACCATGTACACTGGTACATGTACTGTACAGATCTGTGGACTGTTGGAGGTGGGATAATGTCTTTTGGTCCACAGCATGGAGCCAGGAGAATCTTGCATCTTTGCTCAATACTCACTCCTCACTCCATACGAACTCGCTGTAGGAGTACATGCAACATGCATACAGTATACAGTACTAGAGCATGCACCACTCCAATGACCATTGGGTGCCCTCTGAAAGGTGGTTGTCCCTGGCTTTTAAGGGGTCTTGAAAGTTGAGAACTGCTGCAACGCTGCAATTACTGCAACTTTCTGCTCTAACTGAGCATTCTGGCGACCGTCTGAATCGAGTCGAGTCAAATCAATCAGATTCTCAGATTCTGCTGACAGGGTTCTCAGCGGCAGAACGGCATCAAAATCTCCTTTGAACCGGCCGCGACTGCCCCAAAAAGGTTGCTTCGAAATCGCTGCGCTGGTCTACCGGAGCTTCTACCAGTACCTATTATCGTAGCCAAGCAGTCAGCAAACCGCGTGCTGTGGTATTATCTTTGTGTTATCCACATACCGGTAGCATCCTACCCTCCACCATGGTTGGGCCTGTAACTGTCTTCACCGTTGAGAACTGTCCTTACTGCAAGCAGGTAACAACGACGCTGGAAGAATGTCGGCTACCCTACACGGATATCTCCCTCTCCAAGTTCCCTCAGAAGCGCAAGGACTTGCTTCAGCTCACGGGAAAAGTCTCGGTACCGCAGCTCTTTATCCACAGTCAATGGATTGGAGGAGTCGACGCCTCTTTGGCATACTTGCGGGACTTTTCCAACCGCATTGTCCGGCACTCCTCCTTCACAGAGGACTCTATGGAGTCGCCCCTTGAGACATTGGAGCGTGCAGTAGGCCGCAAGTCTAATGGGAGCGCCGCAGTCAACCCCCGATTCATGGTCCCCATCATGGAGGAGCATGAAGGTGACGAAACAGACTCGACCTGGTGTGAAGAGGACGAATGCCAGTGCAACGATACTCCCGTTGGGGGTCCATTGTCGGCATGTGGCAGCAGTGGCAGCAGCTGTAGTACGTTCGGTAGCAGCACGGATACCACCCGCATCATGACACCGGATGGATCTCTTCTGACCGTCTTGGAAACTACCGAACTACTCAAGAAAGTAGTACTGGACTACTCACAGAGACGATGGAACTTTACCACGTACAAGAACTGCTGTACCGCAGAAGAAGTAATCAACTCGTTTGCACAGCATTACGACATTTCCAGACGAGAAGCAGAATGCTTTGGTAGGCTCCTGCACCGAAACCACATTATGCATCATGTGTAAGTAGCTCAAGAAACGGTGCAGAAATACATTAAAAGAATGGCAAGCATCACTCATCGTCTTGTCTATCTCTAACTCTTTTTTATACACAGTTGCAACGACCATCAATTCAAAGATACCTCGGCACATTTTTGGAGGTTGCAATGCTTTCACAATCCAGACATTCTGAATTCCTACCGAACGTGGCCGGTCCAAGCGTCGCCGCATCCGGAAGAAGCACTTCACAGAATCCTCAACATCTTTGGAAAGATTCTTGCCACCATCATCACAGAAGAAGGCACTTTTAACTACAGGATCGCCTTCATGTGCTCGGACTATCCCTTGTTTGAAGATGCCGTCTGTGAGCTACAACGAGTAGATCTGTCCTTACTGGAAGGACCTGCCATGATGGTAAGATACCGTACC